TCATATTACGCACGGAGGTTAGTCATGATTAGTAGATGACCCCTAGTGATTTTGAGGTCACTAGGTCAAAGGTCAAGGTCACAGGGACCTTGACTTCAAAAAGCTTGTCCGCCCAATAACATAAGATTTCATTTGACCTACAGTCGTCATATATGGCATAGAGGTTAGTCATGATAAGTATTGACCCCTATTGATTTTGAGGTCACTAGGTCAAAGGTCAAGGTCACAGGGGCCTTGACTTCATAAAACTTGTCCGCCCAATAACATAATATTCCTTTGACCCACAGTCTTCATATTTGGCATGGAGGTAAGCCATGATTAGTAGATGACCCTTATTGATTTTGAGGTGACCAGGTCAAAGGTCAAGGTCACAGGGGCCTTGACTTCAAAAAGCTTGTCTGCCCAATAACTTAAGATTCCTTTGACCCACAGTCTTTATATTTGGCATGGAAGCAAGTCATGATTAGTAGATGACCCCTATTGACTTTGAGGTCACCTGGTCAAAGGTCAAGGTCACAGGGCTCTTGACTTCAAAAGCTTGTCCGCCCAATAACTCAAGATTCCTTTGACCCACAGTCTTCATATTTGGCATGGAGGCTAGTCATGATAATTAGATGACCCCTATTGACTTTGAGGTAAGCAGGTCAAAGGTCAAGGTCACAGGGACTTTGAGTTCAAAATGCTTGTCTGCCCTATAACTTAAGATTCCTTTGACCCACAGTCTTCAAATTTGGCATCAATGTTAGTCATGATTAGTAAATGACCCCTATGTATTTTGAGGTCACCAGGTCAAAGGTCAATGTCACAGGGACTTTGACTTCAAAAAATTTGTCCAACAATTAACTTAAGATTCCTTTGACCCACAGTCTTTATATTTGGCATGGATGTTGATCATGACTATAAGGTGACCCCTATTGATTTTGAGGTCACTGGGTCAAAGGTCAAGGTCACAGGGACCTTGACAAAAAAACTTTTCTTCTCAATTGCTAAAGAATGTTCTGTCCGCAATGTAGTGATTTTGACATTTTCACATTTGATGCATGTAGAATACATGACTTAGCAATGCCATGGCTTAGTAACCTCAGATTTGGCAGGGAGGTTGTTCTTGAGCTCTAAATGACCACTGTTGATTCTGACAAAGTGGTATGCGGTTATTAAGTGATTTTAAAAAAGTTCAATTATTGTGAGACTTTCAGAGACATTCAGGACAGCAATGAAAGCACAACAAATAAGTATCAAACCATTATCTGATTATAATGTGTCGACGATGAATTGATAATTCAAAAAAATGAAATATTTACAATTATCAAAGTCAAAACAACTCCATCGTCGGATACCACAGCTGATAAGCATGTAACATAAAATGTAATCAATGATGAATATTAATGGTTCGGTCATGGGTATCCGACGATGGAACAACTCGTTAATAATAGATGAATTTATAACAAAACAACATCAAACGGATCCCACTGAGGTTATTGATATGACGGGACTGGAAATAATTAAAGTTCAATAAAACATATCAAAGGACTTCCTATGTGCATCATTAACGAAACTTCACTGAGGCTTATTGACATGACGGGACTGGAAATGATTTTTCGATACTAATATTCCATTTGATAAAGGTCTAGACCGGTAACTTGTATGCAAAAGTTCAGCTCACTCAATTTTCCATAATAATTATTAAAACTAGAAAAAAAGACTCAATATTGAAAATGTTGACAGTATTGAAATCGACCTAAGAATAGCACAAAATGCGATTTTAAATATATTTCTGAGTTAATTTCATAATTTCCGTTGTCATATTTTATATGAGAAGTGCCCCACCTCATTTATGTGAGAATGATAAATTTTATGGGGTTTTTTGTTTGTTTTGCTCTTGAACCTCAGTTGAGTCCCTTAAAAAGAAGATTTTAAAAGTGGATCATAATTACATACACATCAATCTACATGTATATGTACAAATATAGCGTTGTATTTGCGAGAAGGGAGATAAAATATGAGGGTTGAGTAAAACGAAAGAACTTAGTATCATACCGAAAATATCCTAAATCTTTTGCCCAATGTTACTTGACTCAAGCCAATTCTAATCTAAGCCCTGTGGAATAAAAGGGTGGATTTCGACTATTCAATTGCTTTTATTGGTGCGAAACGTCTTGGGAATGAGACATCTCACGCCGAGTATACGACAGAGCTACCTCTTTCGGAGTTATACGGTAAATATCTCTATCGCTATTTCCGAGCTAGTGCATATCGCTACAATCAGTTGTCAAGCGTTTTCAATCTTTATATATTTTGCAAACTCCAAACCAAATATCAAAATTCGGAGGTAGCCAAAAAACAAAAAGTTGTTATAATTGTGTTTGAAATGTAGTTGTGGCGGCATTTCCCACGATGAAATGGGTCAATTCATCATGAAACAGATTATTTTCCCTCCAGTTTCATCTAAACAACGATATAGATTAAAAACAAATACGTTCCTATTAGATACAAGGTCTAGAAATGTAATAAGATTGAAATTCGATCAAAACATTACTTAATAAAGATGATATAGGATATTTGTTCTTGGAGACAGATCTGTCATGAAGGAGGTAGTTTTGTCGCCAATGAGATAGCTCTATGGCTACATACAAAGTACATGTATCTGACTGTTTATGTATATCATATTTATAACATTTACCACGACACAAAAATTTAATAAAAACAATATTGTACTAATATAATTACTACACATGTTTAGTGTCCAACTTTATTTGTCATCTAATGAAAACGCTGTATTTCTTAAAAATTATGTGCGTTAATTTTCATAGAGGTACAAAAGTCGATACTATATCGAATTGCCATAGTCGACTTCTATTTTTCATAGTACTTCATAAAACCGCATAGTGTCGTAATAAAGTGAATGATAATGAGGCCAAATAAAGCTTGACACTAAATATGTTAGTATTCATCCGTGCTGTTCTACAGAAATTAGAAACATTCTCCTGTCGCTATCGCTCCCGTCGAAGTTTCTTATTCCTATAGAACAGCACGGATGGACACTAACATATACATATCATGACGTAATTTGCAAAAAAAAAAAAACATTTACATTTACAGAGTTCAAATTGTTATCGACTCATTTTTTTCACTATACATAACTTTTACTTTGTATAATTATGTAAAAACACAGCATACAGTACATATTATATATATTCATATAGGTTCAATGATAAATGAAGTATTAAAACTGCGCTCATTCAATAGCGTTTAGTTTATACATATATAATCACTTTTGCCACGTTACATTAAGAACTTTACTTGAAAATACATGTTAAGATTTTAACTTTTTTAACATAAATATAGTAAATATTTGTCCATTTCAGTTGACTGCATTTACATCGTGTATATCAAGTCACGAGTAGCTTTGCTAATGTGTCGGGTACACCGAATATCAAAATCTATAATATAATATATACGATATTGTATTTTATGGTACGACAAAACTCAAAAGTCAGATGGAAGGATCTTGAAAAAAAACATTGTCATGGAAATATTTTGATAAGGTTAAAGGTATAATGTCCCGGCAAAGGTATGCGCTAATTCACTTCTGTCAATTTGATTTTCAATAAAGATATTGGTTCATATCCTTTCCTTGGTCTTAATTGCACAATTTTGCGTTACGTTTCCCAATACCTGCGTTAATTGCACAAGATACGTTACTGGATATTCTAGGTGTATTAAATGAAAAAAGAAACATAGCCCTCTGACTAGCTGGAAACAATATACATACTAGTACGTTAGCTTAAATGGGAACTCCCTGTGCATTTTAAATAGAGAAGAGATTCTCAGATTCATTTGATTTCTAAACCATACATCTACTTGAAACGTTTTCGCTGTTTAGATGAAAATAGGAGGAAAATAATCTGTTTCGTGATGAAACTGTCCATTGCAACGCTAAATTCGCCAACTGGGAAACGCCGCTATAACTTCATTTCTAACACAAATTTATCAGTTTTACGTTTCTTGTAAACTTAAATCAAATCTATATGGCATAGTATTCTTCGAATTTCGATAGTTGGTGTAGAATTTTCAAAAAATATAAAACATTACAACTCTTTACCTTTGTTGACACTTAATTTTAGTAACATGCGCTAGCATGGAAGTTGCGATCGATTTACCGTATACAATGTACCTCCGTAGCTCTATCGTTTACATGTACCAGGCACCCAGACGAGTGAATTGTGCATAATTTTGGACACATATGTTTCGAGGACAAACATATTAAATAAAGCAAACATTTTAAAGATGTTACATGTACCTTCCATCTGCTTGATTTTCCCGGATATGCAGAAACGGTATAAAATGCGCACCGAAAATGAATCAGAAGTAAAATTCAAAGTAAACTAGCATTTAACGCACATAATTAGTTGTGTTATGACTTTAGATTTTTTTTTTGGAAATTGTAGAAGCGTGAACGAAACATTTGTTGTTGTTGTTTTTATTTTGGTCTATATTTTTCAGAGATCAACGAGAATTTAAAACCTTGTTTTGCTTGTTCTTTAGTTTTGTATTTTTGTGTAAAATATGTAGACACTTGTATTTTGAAATGTACTCCATTTAGGTTGTTTGTCAAGATGGGACTGAAAAAAATTGATATTTATATTTCATTTGATGTACGTCTGGACTTCACTCGTACTCCGTTTTTCCTGAATGACTATTTATTGTAAGGACTGGCCCAAAATTTAAAAGCGTTACTACGCTTTATATCCAAATCGAGCTATAAACTTACACATAATTACTGGATCTATGTCTGTTATAACATTAGTAAAAGAATAGAGGTACTGCATTATATTATCAATTAGTTTATTGAGGGGGCTAAAATAGGACCAACTAAAAGAGTACCTTATTCCGAAACATGTATTTTATCTGAGCGTATTTTACATAACCTGGACTTCATGAGACGGTGGATCCGTCTTATTAATATCTAATGGAGAACAAATATAAACAACTAATCAAGATATTCTTACAATTGCCATTTTATTAGATGCCTTCTCGAATTTGCACTATAATCATTTCAACTATAACGTAATGATTTTACATGAATCACAATATTAAATACAGATGTTTTTTTCTTCTCATGCCAATGTTAACAAAACAATACGTACAATGAATGTAGCGAACTAACAGGTACTAGAAACAAAGAGATTTAATGTGGCTGCAACAATGTTTAGATAACACACATTTGTAAACTTGAGACTTTCTTCAAACTAGTCAAATTCACACAAACTGCTTAATAAATAACCACAAAAAACATCATGCCAATCCCATGTACCAGTCCATTTCAGCACTGCGCACTTCTCATCCCGGTTGTCCGATGGTTCATCTATTCCCCATTTCACATAATGGTCAGACAGGGGTGTACCGTCTTCCCAGTGAAATATTCCTCCAATTTCTTCACGCGATGCTCCTATCCAAGTTTCAGTATGGTCTGAAATTATATAACTGGATTTTTAAAATCTATGTTCAAAATCATTACGTCAAGTGTTTTAATTAAAGGAATTCCATGCATCAGAAAGTAATTTGTTTCTTAAGAAAGGGCAACAATGAATTTTACATCTAAAAATAGTTTAAAAAATTCGTCGACTTTTTGTTGTTGCGCAAAATATGTTTGAGATATTTATTTGAAATTCTTACACTGCTTAGAAAAATCGATAACAAATAAACACGGAAAAAAATCATGTTAGTAGCTTCTTATATTAAAACAATATTCACGTATACATTAACACATGTCGGCTTTTTTTTTAACATAAATATTACAAATATTTACTTCATTTTCATCGTGTATATCAAGCCACGAATAGTTTTGCTAATATGTCGGGTACACCGAATATCAAAATCTATAATATAATATTTACGATATTGTATTTTATGGTGCGACAAAACTCAAATGTCAGATGGAATGATCTTGAAAAATTGTCATGGAAATATTTTTGATGATGTTTTAAGTAAAATGTCTCGGCAACCATATGCGCCTATTCACTTCTGTCAATTTGATTTACTATTAAAGATATTGGTTCATTGGTGCTCGTTTCGGCCTCTTAATTGCACAATTTTGCAATTGTTACGTAACTAGTTAATCACTTAACTAACTAGTTAATTAAGAGGTTACCTAGTTGCGTAACTAGTTAACATTTTAACATTAAGCTTGTAAAATGATAAAAGGATGGCAGTTGTAGGCACTCACATGCATTTATTTCCCGTTATGATCTTTTATTTATTGAAAATATTAACTAGTTACGTAACTAGTTAACCACATAACTAACAAGTTAATTAAGAGGTTAACTAGTTACGTATCTAGTTAACCTCTTAATTAATTAGTTACTTATATGGTTATCTGGTGGCAGAAATATACCACCATATTGAATAGTTTAATAGCTAATAAGAATCTGATCTCCTATTTGACATGAGCAACTGATGCACATCCTGTGTCCTTGACCATTAGTTCATGTACGTTAAAATGTTGATGTCAAGATATTTAAACTTTACCTGGTCATTTACATGAATAATAGAAAACAATAAGATATTAAAAGAATTCACCACTGCCGAATACTTGATCTTCTATATATAGTTCTTCCTCTTCTGTTGTAATGTCTGTCAAATGTCCCCCTAATGTCTGACAGTGTAACTAGAAAACAATACCATAAAATCATTACTGGTATGAAAGTTTCATTATTTGCTGTCATCATTGCTTACTGAATAGTTTACACATTGATTATGTTGATATGCTAATATCATTGCTGAATACTGAACACTGAATATCTGATTTGTTAAAGGGAGGTAACTTACAAACATACTAAACAGATAAGACCTCTAAATGAAAGGAATGAAGAAGTTTTAACATTCATTTTTTGGCAATATTGAGTTGAAACATGTAAATATTCCTCAGCAGCCGTAGTTCTCAAGAGTTAAATGGTACGGATGCACAATGGTTTATGAAATACATAGAAACAAATATATGCTACAATATAAAAATAAAGTTTTTTTAAACGTAAGCTGCAAGCTCATGAACGCGAGTCCGCTTCAATCAGGAAAAAAAACTACAACAACCACAACACTAACTGAAAGAGTTGTATACAACCATATAGTATATAATAGCAATTAAAGAAACATTATTCAGTATCAAGTCAATATTATGAAGCAAAGTAATCGAAATTTCGACTTATTTACTCTGAATTTCGACTAAGTAACTCAAAATTTCGACGCAGTAACTCGAAATTTCGACTTACTTTCCTCGAAATTTCGACTTATTAACTCAAAATGACTTCAAGCCCCCTATACACTTATATGTCTGGTGGCGCGGTTTTTCAACGAGGACCTCAAGTGTCGCTCCGTGCATTATTTCTGCATTGCTTCCACATAAGCTATTTAAATTGCTAGATAACTCATGATTGAAAGAGTTCTACAATCGAGTATAATTTTGAATTCGTTAAAGAATACAAAGTTAGATAGGCGATGCTTACCCGTGCATTGCTCCATGATTTCTTTTCAGTCACTATCATGTACGCTAAAATGAAACAGATACGAACATATGTAACATTCCTGTATGGGTAATTATAAAACCATCTCTATTACGAAAATTGAAATGCAAAAAAGCGAAAATGAATTGTTATAATTTCGCTGTTTTTTTCTTTTACCTTTATAAGGTGTAATCTAGGGTAACATATAGACATATAACAGATTAAAATATTAAAAAAATAATAAAAGTTATTATTTGTATATGTGCCTAAACCTCTATTTACAATGAACTAAGAGCACTACAACTGAAGAAACAATTAAATAGTTTACAACTGGTACAACTGGTAAGATATGTTTAAACGAAAATGCGCACAAAAGAAGTAACAGTGAACGCATTGTTGATAGAAGAATATATGTTTAAATGATAATGCACAAAGTTAGTAACAGTTAACACATTGTAAATTGAACAAGATTTGTTTCAACGCAATTGCGCACAACGGAAGTAAATGTTAACGCATTGTTAATTGAACAATATATGCATAAACGAAAATGCGCACAACTGAATTAACAGTTAACACATTGTTGATTGAAGAAGGTTTTAAACTGTTTCTTATATGAGTAGAATTATACCTTCAAAACATGTACTGATGTTTTGGCAGTCTGGTATGACTGATATGGATTTTGAATTGATCTCTTTTTTCTTAGCAAAAATGAAAATTAGATTGAATTTAAACTCTTAGAGTCACGAATGGAATGCATTTTTATTACAAGCATTACAAAGGGAAAAAGTACAATCTTTGTAATATCAGCTTTTACTTTGAGTATTTATTTGTTTATTATTACAGTCTCATCATTGTTCACAGTTAAAATGCATATAAAATACAATATAAATGCACATTGCCAATTTATAAGATTTACAAGAGACTACAGGTTGATTTACTATTTACATGTAAAATTCTAAAAATCTACCCTTGCTAATTTAAACCAGAGTTGTGAACATATGATAAAATGAATCTACTGAAGTAAATTAAAATGCCGACTCCAAAAATTCTATATAGAAATTGATATTGTGGTTAGATTTAATCAAAATCCGGTTTAGCAGATTTTTAGCAAATGTATTTTCTAGATAGTACATGTATAACTAAGAACACATAAAAGTTATTTTAAATAATTTCAGGTGTTTAAAATTAGTTTTCTTCTATTCAATATGTTAAAATAGGTTTTGGCAAGTTTAAAATACAATGTCTGCATTTGAGAGAATATATCCTACTTTATCAATGTCTGAGAGGGCATCAAAACCATTGTTTAGCATTTGTGCTTCTCGAATCAAGTCGTTACGAATGGAATCATATAGAGGGCAATATGATAATACATGCTTTTCATCCTCTACAATAGTTTGACAGTGAAAGCACAATCGTTGTTCCACTTGCAAAACATTGTAGCGTCCTAGCTCTATACCGATTGGAGCTGTGTCACTGCGAAATTTAGCTAAGGCACCCCTGTGTGACTTGTTCAAAACTAACTTTATTTTTTATAATTATTATTTATAATAATTTTCAGTTTCAAAGTTATTCTTGAATGTTTCATATAATCTTAATTTGTTTCTTAAAAACCAGAGCCATTTCGGCCTGATTCTTGATTAACAGTACAATTCCAATTATGAATGTAATCTTCCAGGACTTTAGGCAGTATAATATTAAACAGCTCTTATTTTTGAATCGGATGTTCAACATTGCAAAATCGTTCCATATGATACTTCTTAAACAACGTACAGACTTTAAAATTCCAATTTTTACATCTGTTACCTTATTTCTTGCCAATAAAAATATTTGTTTATTCAACCTCCCTACATTCATATTACTTAATCTACTCCAATTTGTCAAAACAAGATCGAGATATTTGTACTGTTTAACTTAGTTTAAAGTTGTATCTCCTAATTTAAACACATAATCTGAACAAGTTAAAGGTGGATTTCTAAAGTGAAGAATGTTGGATTTGAGTGGGTTAACATTCATATGGTTTGTAATACATTAATTATGAAGAACATTTAACATACTTTGAAGATCATTTCAATTTCTGTACAATAGCATTGGCATATAACAGGGTTGGTACGTTTTCATCATCAATATCAACCCCACTGTCTGTGGCTTTCAATGTCAAGGCCAGATCATTAATATACAAGTTAAATAGTAAAGGTGACAAGGGGCAACCCTGTTTTAGTACGTTGTATACGTAAAAACCAAAAACCATAAACTGACTTTACAGCATTTATAAGTTGACTGTGTTTAGACAATTTAATGTATAAAAGCTCTCTATTGAGTCAAATGCCTTTTTAAAGTCTATAAAGCCACAGAAAGTTGACAGACGTTGTTTCTTTCTAGTATCAATAAAACTTGTTAAAGATTGAATGTGATCTACTGTACTCCGACCTGGTCTGAACCTATTTTGACCTTTAGAAATTTATTCTTTTTCAAAACACCATGCATTTAGTCTTTTATTTATTAATGTACAATATATATAACTTGTCACTAGTTGTTGACTTAGGAATTGGTTTAATAAAAGTTTTGTTCAATATCTGTGGCAAAAATCCTGATTTAAAATATTTGTTAGTAAAATATGCAAAAAAGAGATTACAAATTCGTTTTTCAATACTTCACCACACTGTTCATCAAGGCCAATAGCTCTGTTTCGTTTAATGTCAAGTACAGCTAATTTCACTTCTTGTTCGGTAAATCTTGTATTAACACTATCAATATCAGGATTGATTGACAAGTTAACATCAACATTTTTACTATCAACAATTATATCATTACTTGAATTGTACAAATTACAAAAATCATTTTTCCATTTATCAAAAACATCTTTTTCTTGCGATAGTACACCATTATTATCAAAAACTTCCAAAGTGATATCACTTATTCTGTTATCCCTTATCCCAACCCTTCCAATCGACCTCCAAATATCAGGAGAATTCTCTTTAGCAAGTGATAATAATTCATTTTGTACACTAAACTAGTGAGACCTTTTCCAACTCTGAACTTTACGGTCAAAATGTTAACGTTTGCTTACAAATTCATGTTTCAATCTTTTTTATGACCATTATTACATTGCGCCAATTTTTTAAGCATCACACAAGTCATTATATAAATCATTATTCCATCAATGCTTTCACAATATTCTGTTCTTATTACTTGTTCCATATTTAATTATAGAATATTTGCATGAAAGCTAATCTTGCATTTCAGTTTTAACTAATGAAGAAATTGTGAGTAAATATTGTCTACTTCTTCTTGATTTCTATTTTCTATATCAAGCCTTTCAACAGTTTCTAACACATTGTGCGATAGCAGATCATTACAAAAACATTTGGGAATATTTTTCATACATCATATTACTTTAAATTCATGTCAAAAGGTCGATTTCTTTTACCAATATTTGTGTCATTATCACTTCAACTTCTATATATATTATTCAATTGACTTAATTTAAAAATATATGAAATAATAGAATGATCCGGTATACATGGTATAATACGAGGTTCTATACCAAGCAAGTTAAGATACATTTCTACTTAGTAGTTCAGTAGGTCTAATAACGTTATATTCTTGGTAGTTGTCAAGATATTCATAAGGAATAATAATGTAGTCTACAACAGATTTCCCCCGAGTCGAGACAAACGTAAAATCATTTGTGGTATAGTTTTCTTCATTTAAAATACAGCAGTTACTTTCTATCAAAAATTTAATGAAATATTCACCATATAAATTTTTGTTAAAGTCAATAACATGCTTTTCATTTACATCATCAATTTCTTCTATAAAATATGTCATGTTTGCAGTACGACTGTTAAAATCTTCACATATTATAAATTTACCTGCATTTTGAAATTCATATATATTGGTTTGTGAATGATCAAAAAAATCGTGTGCATTAACATAGATACTTGATCCTTGTTGAGGTAGGTAAGCTTCACATACAAAAAAAGCTCCTGGAATTTTATCTTGCAGTGATATCCATAAAATACCTTCATAAGACTGATCTAACACTTTAATGTTAAAATACTAAGTAGCTGTTTTTTTAATTTAACCCAAACTCCTCCAAACCCACATCTGGCGTTACATGTAATAAGGTTCTAGAGCTGTATTTTTTAAATAGGTTTTAGGAAAGTATTATAACTTCCCATTAAATTCTGCTAGTCTTAGTAGTCCATGTATCATTATCATCCATTTAGAGCGTGTCTGCCGGTTTTATATGACCTAAAGAGTTGATATGTTGATTTGTTGTAAAATTGACTCTGTATCAAATATTTATTTTAAAACATGTGAGTATCCATTTACTAAATACATTGAGAAATGGAAAAAAATTAAGGTAATCTTAAACGACATAATTGCAAATGTTTCAAGCTTGATTTGATTGAGTCTGGTCAAGGACGATAACTGTAAATGAAATCTACCGTCTATGCACCGGCCAAAGCAGAACACAACAATTGATATTGTGATATTTTGTTAATGTGCTCTAACAACCCTTGCGATATGATCTGAAATTCAATGTGACACTTTAAAGTCATTATATGAAGAAAGATGTCCAAAGGACACGGACGTCCAAATATTTTACTATTGTTTGGTATACGGACAGACAGTTAAACGGATTCTTTAATCCCCACTACCCAAGAAGTAAGGACATTAAAAGGCGTAGGTCAAATTAACTGTAGGTCAAATAATACGTGTGCCCTTAACGCGAAAACGAAAGTCAGAACTAAAGAAAATAGAATTTCAAGAAAGCACTATAGATTATGAAGCCTGTGTGTCACAGACAGCTATAAAATAACATATTCAAAAAAACAGGAAGAAAAATGGGCATCGTCAGAACAAAAATGGTTGAACAATATTCATGTAAGAGATTACTGGAACCTTTTCTTAAAAAAGCTACACTATATATTCATATTGTAACCACCTAGTGTGTATAATTTAAAACACAACATATCTACTTTGTGTGACGTTAAAATATGTTTATTTTATATTTACAAAAACACTGTGTAGCAATTATAAATATTTTTTCAATTATGAAATTTGAGGTTAGAATATCTTTAAAATTACTTACTTTGACGTCTAAAGTACTTCATTCCGTTTAGAGATGGGGCCGATGAATGAGTAAGAAATTCGTTATTGCACCCCACACAGTGCATATTAGCTTCGTCGTGGAACACGCCAAAACACGACGAGCTATCAGCACAAGTTTTCAGACACTGCATTAAATTCAACTTATCGTATTCAAAACCCTTATCCATTGTAGGACAGGTAAACCCGCTCAAATCGGCTTGTTTTGAAAACTTTATGTTCCGACAGGCTATAGGTAAAACAAAGCCGTCTAACACAAGTAAGCAGATAATAAAGCAATAGTTCTGCATGTTGTCTTTGCGCAAACAATCAAGTAATTGCCAGCAAATCAATGTTTTCAGTTGATAAATATTGACAAGAGGGTCATGATAGCCCAGGATATCTCACCTAAAAACATTTCTAGAAAAAGTCAAAGCGAGTAATGAGGTCAAGATTGAGTTTGTCTTTTCCAGAGTGTACAATTATAAAAAAGTGATCCCCAGGGCGTGGCAACTTTTGTTAAATGAATTTTCACAAAAGAAGATTATTTAAGAAATAACCCCCGTGGCAGGGCCAATCTTGACAAATTGGGCATGATTTATATAGCCTTTGTAGACGGTCACAAACAAGTTGATGCTACAAACAAAATATCTAGGATCTGCTCATTATATTATTTAAGAGAAGACGATTTTTAGACAATTCAAATTTAAATGTCTATCTTAAACAAGTGACCAAAAGAACGGGACCAATTTTGACCCCAGGGGCATGATTTATACATGTATAACTTTTTTACATGTCAACTAAGCAATGCTACTTGCTAGATATCTAATCTCTTGGCATTGTAATTTCAGAAAAGAAGACTTAGAAGTATTTTCTTTTACCTGTCAATTTAAACTAGGCGACCTTCACGGCGGGTCAGTTGTGATACTCCCCAGCAGGCACATCAACGTTGTTTCAACGTTGAATTATGGTCAGATTTCAACGTTTGAACAAGGTTGGATTTATATTCGGATTTGAAAGTTGAAACAACGTTGAATTTTCAACGTTGATACAACGTTGCAGCTTCAACGTTGGCACAACGTTGAAGTTTCAATGTCATTTCAACGTTGAAAACCCACCATACTTTAATTTTTGGATATAAAGCAAAGTAACCAAGTTTAACAAAATATCAAGACAATATTAAATACTTCAGATATTTTATTTCAAAAATACAGTTCAAGTGCAGCTTAAATTCACTTTAATAGTTTTAACAATTAAACTACAATCTGTTCTTTCTGGGTATGTCAAGTGTTTGTGTACTTATTTGGCTGTCTCTTACTGCTTCTGCAAATAAAAATAAGAAGTTTTAGTTAAAAGTGACTTGGTCAATCTCAAATTATACATATAATTACTCGACTTAGTGATTTGTTTTTATCTTAAAATGCTTTTCTCTAAGATTTTCATCATAAAACAGCATAGAAATTCAAACATAGCTAAGTTTCTTATTGACAGCAAATACTGTATATAAGACAACAAAATCTTTTTAAAAAGAAGCTATTTAAAAGTCTCACCTATGAAAAATGCTCCCCGTCAGTTCCTTGCAGCATATTCCCAACTTTGAAGAAATTAACATTCTAGGCTCTAGCTAAGACCATTTTATACAGCATCCTGAAATCAACAAACATGTAAATTTTATATAAATAATGTTACACGAATATTCCGAAAATAATATATTTTAAGACAAGATAAATATCCAGTAGTAAAAAAAAATATACTTTGTATTGTAAAGAAATTCCAATATATAAATTAATAAGAATAAATTTCAATTTAACAAACCTGACAGTCCTTTTCATGTTGAATGTATGGTATACAGGCTACAGCTGCAATACTCTAAATTTCAACCAGGACCAGGATCTAGAATATAAAATAATATATAATAAAATAGAAATAGATTTATATATATATTGACGAATCGTCTTGGGACGTAAATTATGTGGGCCGAACTACTTTATAGGTTTCAAGTTTATAATTGATTAAATTCTAATTAGGATATAGTACAGATAATTGTTTAATAATATGAAAAATAAATTAAAGAAAGACAAGATTTGTAAAATCATAAATTGCCAAGGACATCCATAACTTCATGCTTACAAGGCCTACCGATCACAAATCTTTCAATTAGGTCGCGAAAACGTGTCAAATCAACTCAATCATGTGTTTTCATCTCTCATTTATTTCATAAAGTAAATTAAAGTAGAATTTTAAGAATAAATAATAATATTTTAGAAAATAATCAGTAAACTAAAGTAAAACATTACGGTAATACCTCCGAAATCCAAATAAATTGCCAATCGTGTTGTTTTCAAATTTTCCAAACAGCGCCACCATTTGCACAAACGATAATCATAGACAACAAACAAAATCATTGACCGCAACAATTACTTCCCCTGACCAGCGTTATTTTATAAACGGGGTTTTGACTAATATCAATTTATTTAATATTATTCATAAAGAACTAAAAAATAAAACAACAAACAACAAAACATATTAAGTAATATTTAAAGCGTTAATAGAAAGTGAAAAATTATTCCCAACTTTATTTGTTTCAGCGCTAATTTTAAATATACGGAAAACGATTGTAACGCAAATTTTTCTGACAAAAATCACTTACAGACTAATTCAATAAAGGAATAATAACACAAAATTAGTGGTATAAAAGTTTATATAATGATTAAACTAAAAGTAAAAAGTTCGACCATAACCAACGTTGAATAAACGTTGCATATACATTGGCTATATATCCGTATGGTCGTCCATAGTTGAATATTGCTTGAACAACGTCACGACCAAATTTCAACGTTGTTTCAACGTTGAAACAACGTCGAGTGCCTGCTGGGTCGTATATATATATATATATATATATATATATAACTTTTGAAGATGTCCACAAGGTAATGATTCGTGCAAAATATATACGCTCTTGGCAATTTCTTTTAAGGGAGAGCATTGTTGAGACTTAACAAGTCTATGCAAAATAAGTGACCCCAGAGTAGGGTCAATTTTCATCCCAGAGGTATGACTTATATAATTTTATAGAGGTGTACTAGGCAATGCTACATGCGAAATATCTGAGCACTTGGCAATGAAGTTTCACAAATTGAAGATTTAAACAAATTTTTACTTTTAAGCCTATATAAACTAAGTGACCCCTGGGCAGGGCATGCTATGTATTACTTTTGTGAAGGTCCACTCGAAATTGCTATATGCTAAATAATTATGCTTTTAGGCATTACAGTTTTATAAAGGAAGACAAAGTATATTTTCTTTTTTCAGCCTGTGTAAATAAAGTGGCACCTAATGCCATTTTTGACCCAAGGGGCATAAGTTGTAAAACTTTTGTATAAAACAGAAGGTGATGCTATTTGCCAAATATCCATGTTTTGGCATTGTAGTGATGTAATTTCTAAAATCTATTTTTGGCAGATGTGACCTAATTATGTGTTAGACTTTAACAATTTATGTCATTTTTGTAGAGGATCACCCAATGATCATTTCTGTAAAATTTGGTCAAAATCCTCCATGTGGTTTAGGAGGAGATGATGTTTACAAAAATTGTTGAAAAAGATGAACGACGGACATAATACTTACACAAAAGCTCACCTCTGAGCAATGTGCGCTCAGGTGAGCTAATAAAACGCACCATGATCGCGAATTTATAATTAAATATAATTAACTTTAAACTTTTAAAAGTGCTATTTGTATGCAACAATGATAATGTTTATTTATTACCAGTTTCCATACAACAACGAAATGTTTTATTCTATTACCAGTGACAACATGATTTCATATGAATATTTTAGATATCCTTTAGTATAATTGTCAACAGACCAGATGTTTTGTGCAATTACTAAGGGCAATCTATAAACATAGCAGTCTCTTTTTACCAGCCTATTAGACATTTATGAACGGTAACGGACATCGACATTGATATTCCTACGGGGGTCGTCTCAAAAGCATTTAACTTTATAATATCTATCTGGCCTAAGTGTAGCTTGATACTCGTTTGCAGTTTTATAAAGAACATTTTTATTCACAAATTTATTAAACGGAACTCGAACACTAAGTATTTGGTGGCTGATTTGGTAAAATTTGTGCGTTGCGTTGTTGATAGCGACAACGCAACATATAGCGTTATCTCCTTTTCGTCTTGCCGCTAGCAAAACACGCCAAACAGCGCTTTGTCGCACTGTTGTCTTGTCGTCCTGTCTCTAGCCAAACGGCGTGTTTTAGTGCCGCGTGTAATTGCGCTGTCCACCTGTCGCTTGGCTTCTAAGCCAATCCTCGATTTGAGCAGAACGACAATGTGACAACGCGACAACACGCCGCACGACAACGCGCCGTTTTGGCGTGCATTGTTAGCGACAGGACGACAAGACAAAAGTCGGACAACTAGCGCAACACGACGCACAAAAGCGTTTCCAAATCCGCCATCATCTTACACGATACTGTCGAATATTCCTGTTTAAAGATCGTCATTTTAACTGTTGTCGTGCGTTCATCAGTCGTTACTGAACTTCGGAATACAAGCTACAATTGGGTGTCTATTTTGATATATTAGGTCACCAAGTAGAATACAGTGGTCTGGGAAAGGTAAATCAGTTCCAATTTGGCGCATCAAACAGAACTGCTGTGCATCATTGAGGTGCCCAATAAAACGCACTCACTATATCTTCTTTTTTCTGTCGGCACACTGACATTAATTTAATAAAAATCAAGAAGGAAGAGGGTGCATTATTCTGCAGAAATGGTAAGCATCATTTTAAAATGGCGTTCTTTCATGGCAATATGAAAGTATTCAGTATTCCAAGTTTGATATGAATAGCTTTTATTTATAGTTTGAGAAAACGCAGGTAAAATATGCAACGCCGTTAGAGGGTCATTTTGTCTTTGAAAAATGTAGGAAAAATGTTCGTAGTATGTTTAAAGCATAGTATTACAATAAAAGCTAAAAGCAGAAAATTGATAAGTTTCTTGCTATATTTTTGCCAGGATGGTTTCGAAAGAAATTATAAAATCAGATGCATAACGATAAATGTTCGCATGTATACTGAAATTAGATTGGCGCTTTGACTGGAATAAGCATATTTCTTTTGTATCCGATATACACGTCCTTAAAGACTCGGATGGGACCGGAAATTTATGTATTTATTTCATTACTGGAAACTGACATGGAGGCACACCGTAACGTATTGCTTTCGTTACATTTAGATTTTTTTTTGGCACCGAATTATTAATTAATCAATATTGGCGTTCCACATTAAGTGTTTGTCAATTGTCATGCCTAGGAATGTCTATAACAGTTTTTTTGTTGTTGTTATTGTTGTTTAATTTAACATTTCCTAACATCAATTTTAGAATATTTTTGTAATTAAATACATTTAATGCGTTTGTGTTTGAACGTTTTCAATAAAGATTGCTTGCTTTTATTGTATTTATAACGATTGTGTTACTCCATTTGTCAACTTCATTCAACAATAACTGCATTTTCTTAACTGCTAATTGTTTAGAACCAGACATTAACCATGGGACAGAATCATCTACAAATTGTAAAACTTTGTATTTATTGCTTAAGTCTGTGTAATAAATGAGCATGTTGTTTCGCTTAAGGTATTCATAATAAGACTTAATATTATCGGGCTCGATACACTTCCCTTGGGGATGCATTCACTGTTTGGACTATGAGCCGTTAAATTCAACTTTAATGGATCTTGTAGCAAGAACATCTTTTATCCATCGAAGCATTCGTCCTCTTATTCCTAATTTGTCTACGTAATCAAAAGCAGCTACAATCCATAACTTATTAAATGCATAATTTACTAAAATGTTTGTAATCGTTGAATATCCTACAACCGCGTCCGTTTCAAGTCGAGTGAGATTATCAAGCAGATCGCCGGATATTGATTAAACGTAAATATTTAGAGTATTGGAGTTTATGTAATTTCATGTAATTTTAAATTGCCTTAAGATGCATAGAATGTCTAAAAATGTCATCTGAATATTATGAACTGTTACTTCATTTCCATCTGATAAGACCTTAGTAAAATAATAATTCTTATTTATGTGACGTAACATGAGTGACATGTACTGTTAAAGGAATTAAGCTTCTGTTACAGCAGTGACAAAAATAAGTATACATGGTACTTTGTTATTTTACCAAACTTTTATTGAATTCCATTTTATTTTATCTTAAGATTAAATGTCATCTGAAAGCTATTATGTAGTGTTTGATTTTTATCTGACAATACTGTGATTAAATAATAATGACATTTACATCTTGTTACATGAGTGACATTTTAGTCATCGGAAAGACATTTTTGTTACAGCAGTGACAAAAATATACATGCATGGTACTTTACAATTTAATCAAACTTATATTAAATTCAGTTATTAAAGAAGAAACTAAATGTAAGACATTCATCTGATTTCAAAATCCAAGTATACGGTCATAGTTATTCTCACCTAGTTTTGCTTTGATAAGTACTTCTTAAATGCTAGTAAATGGTCGAATGTGTGATAAATAAGATTGCTGGAGAAAGTTTATAGGGAAATCCAGTCATGAATGTTGAAATTTACAACTACATCCTGTCGACATGAAACTTTTGACTGAGTTGAGTTACAATTATGTAACGACTAGCAACTTCCTAGTAACCTATAACTTTCATCTTAATTACTTTTTGACCTATTACGACTACTGTCATCTTACAAATACTACTTTCTACTGACTTACAATTTTCATTTGATTCAGAACTTTCTACTGACTTATCATAATCTGTCTGGTAACTGAAATCTATACCGCTTAAAAAGTATAAAACACGTATCTTAGAAATATGCAATTATTTCAAATTCTGAATTACAATTATATCGATAAAAGCAGAAGCTACACCCCCCTAAAACATTTTTTTTATACTAAACGCTTAAACTGTTACATATTTGTCACTCGTGTAACAATGTTTAAGTCTAGGTGAAGCAACCTAACAAATATCTCTGAGAAATTAATAAATTAGTTTTAAAAACTTTTATTAAGATAGCTTATATACAAAGAATATGGTCAATTTTGGCATCATAAGGTATTATAATTATAACATAAGTCTATAATAACTGTAACATATTTTGTCTATACTGTAACATAAAAAACACCAAAATGAGTATCAATTTATATTGTTTGTTTGAAAAAGTAAACCATTATTCCCCCCTGTTACTATTTAGCTTCCTCTCTTTATATTAGAGGTTTTGATTGATTTTAATAGCTTAGATCAGTTTACACGTTTTACTAATTATGATTATGTTACAGGAGTGACATAAATTTTAGGGACAGATTTCAAACTTTGAAAAATAATAGAAAAACTGTTGTAAATGTGTGTTTTACACCATAATTGACTGGCGCATACATATAAAATAAGGGGTGTCAAATTGTCA